GCAATTTTCCAAGATAATCAAGATTTCAATACCGTAACAGGTGCTGAACCATACCTGTTTCCATCATTTTACAGACATTGGTGAGATTTTCCAGATTGACAGAGAAACTCAGAAAGGGGACTTAAGTGGGTTAAAATCCAGAAATTTCCTGGGGAACATACTTCTGGACCTATCTGGAAGCTTGTGCCTTTGGTGCTTGTTGCGTGGGAAATCTGTCACCATTTGTCCTAGATCCACACCCACTAAATTTGAACTTAATTTTTGCAACTTCACTTATACAATTTTCAATCTTTTCAGTTTATACACAAAAGACATGGAAGGGTGTGGCTTGAGCATGTGCAGTCAATGGACATTGGTCAGAAGGACTCCCACCGCAGTTTGTTTTCCATATGGCAAGAGATCTTCCAGCTACCCAAACCAAAACGTCGTCGCTTTGCTGCCATTGCAAACAATGAAAATCAAAATAGTCTAGCCAATAACAGGGAACTGCTTTCCATGGGAGCTCTAGAAGGAAATGTCAGTAATGCTAATGAACAGCGAGGAATGACATCCCTATCGAGCCGTTTCCATACAGTTCTACATTCTGCTATGTCAAGTGGACAGTATGAGAAAGTGGCACAAGGTAGGTGTGAACTCATTTATTCTCACTTTTGATTAATGAATTTATAATTAATAATAATTAATTTAATAATTAATTAATAATTAATGTGAATAGAGCCCAGTGTAGGTGTAAAAATGACACTGCTCCATTTCTTTTGTTTTTACAGGTTTATTTGAGAACTATTTGCAAGTGAAGTTTAAAGATCCCAGCTTCGAAGTGGTATGGCAAATAGTTAACAAAGGAGATTCATAAACATTCACACCACCACCATCATCTGCATTCTTGTATCTGGTATAAAATTCGTGCCTGGTTGATTCAGTCACTATAAGTGGACCGATTTAAGGGTGGTTTTAGACAGTACAACTTTGTCGCATTTAACATTGCAAGCATACAACATGAACTGTTTTATGTATATCCAGCCTGCAACTTCCTTACAATTTGAAGACCCCCAAACGATCACGACATAATTTAGGTATTATTTTATGATGAAAGTGGTATGCAATTTTGACGCAGTGCAAGCAATGTGCCATGTACAAATGTTTACATGAAAAAAGTTGCATAGTCTAAATGAACCCTCAGAAACAGACACCCTTACACCTGCACAAAATAAGTTAATATACGAGGCAATTGAGAATGTCTGGTGATTAGGTCTTACCAGTGCTTACAAAAGTGAAACTTTACAACATCAAGAAAAGTAAATGTATTGTGTTGTTAGTCTTGTTACTGTAAGTTTACTAATGGGCCATTTTGTTGACTGACATCAGGTGGTCTCTGGAACAGAGTGGTTGGAATTCTCTGACTTTGTAGAACAAGCAGTGTTACAGCGTCAGAGTTACATCCTTCAGGGCTACAGTCCTTTCCTTTCAGTAGCCTTTCACTTGTTTTATGCCAGTCAGGCACACTCGAAGCTAAGGTACCCCAGCAGTCAATATGAGGTACATAAAACAGATGTTTAGATACATTCTAATGTAATTACGATCTGTATTGAGATATAATATTATAACAGTTACATGTAAAATTACATTAATTGGGCCAGCAAACACCTCTCCCGGACAGAAAACTCAGCAAAGCAGGCACCTCTCTTCAGTGGACTCATCTCTTACAGCAAGGATAGATACTAAGTTTTCAAAGTAAACCATATGCGCAAGTGACCTTCAGAAACACAGCAACTTTGAGACCTGCCTGGGTGAGTGAGGGAGGGAGCGAGCGAGGGAGCGAGGGAGCGAGCGGACGAGTGAGTATTAACCTCTTTCCTTGTTACAGCCAAAATGGCCGAATTGTTCCGTTTCAGAGACTGCTTGATTGAAATTTCGAATTTTCTACTGTATAATGGAAATGATTCAACCATAACCTGTACAAATCAAGTTCATGTCATGCCCTGCATGTACTGTCTGTCTCTAGGTGTCGAGCAGGTCGTCACTTTGTAAATACTCTTACAAAGAGAGTTTAGAGTAAGTAACCAGAAATTCAGTAAACTGATATTGTGTACTATAAATTTGCAGAGTCATCTTAAAGAAACGAAAACCAAGAACCTTGTAAACACAATCAAGAATGAGTCATCCCCTCACATCCGGCAGAATATAAGTGTTCGCACGGCCTGCCTTGAGCTGCTGCCGTTCATATTAGAGGTGATCACACCAACACTGAGACCGGTAAGCATGTTTACTTGGTATTCTCTGAATCCTACAAGTGATTGGTTAGTTTTCTTCGCTGTTGTCATTAGAAATCTCGAGCTCATAATGTAACTGTCAATTAATGGTTACTGAAGTCGTCCACGAAATGGCAACGTTTTCTCGTTTTTCGGAAGTTTCGGAATTAAATTCCCGAAAAGACTAAGGAAGGACATTCGCAAGTTGTTGACGTTAAAATCTCGAAACTGTTGAAAAAAAAACTGGTGCGCGCAAACACAACTGCAAATTATAAACGGCAATTCAGTCCGCGCCGTCTTTCGTAAACTAGAAGTTTAAAAGTTTAATACTACCTCTAGAAAGAATTGAAAATCGTCAGTTATAATTGTACTAAAACAAGTTGGCCTCATCAAAATCTCGAGTTCATAGTCTAATTGAATAATAGAATTTCTGTGGCAGTAAATACCATTAAAACAGTGTTTCCGCAAATTTCAATTGGACCTGTGTAAGTCAAACAAATCTTAGTTTCAGTAGTAGTTCTGTCTTTTTCAAAGACGATCAAAGTGATCCCTCCTTGTCATTTGATTTCATTGATTTTTCCTGGTTTTGTGATAACTGATAGGCATGTTATTGTATTCCTTGCATTAAACCTAGCACCTGCATGATGTCGGTCTTCTTTCCCAAATCGTGTGCATTTCGTAAGTAGAATTTACGAAAAGCGTTAAGTAACTGTGCAATTTTCATTTGTGATATCATTTTGCAGGTTAACACTCAGTTGTTTTCAGCTCGGGAAAAGCAGCAACTTGCAGAGCTGATCGATACCATGATTGGCTACAATCTAACTTACCATCAAGAAAGGAATTTTGAAGGACAATACACTTATGTATTGGATCCGTGAGTATCGAACACCCGCAGGTAGTTGAAAAACACGATCAGGCCTTCGTTCAAATTTGTTAAAATTCCATGTTACTTCTTTTACCACAGGAATGTCGAAGAAGCTGTGAAATTTTCAGGTTTGCCTCAACACAGACAGTTGACTTATGCTAACAAGCAACTGATAGCAAGAGAGGTAATAACTAGTGCTTTGGCACTAGTGCTGTACTACTTGTTTCCATATTTGTTGTCAGACGTCACTATGCAGTTATCCTGGCCTTGACTCGAACATACTAACCAGCCATAAAGGGTTAATAATCAACTTACAGTGACTCTATGCAGTGATAAGCCAATTGACTCAATTCCAAATACAGACAGATATCCTTTTAAAAGAATGAAAAAACTTGTAAACCTGCCACATAGCAACAGTTCTCTTGGAATAACCGATATTCTGTGATAATTCAAGAATTTCCAGACAGCGTTGCCTCTTAACGAATTTTTATTACTATTCAGTAGTCATAGCTTGATCTTTGTTTCTAATGTCACGGTTTGTAATCTTTGTGGTGCAGATTGAGCTCGAGAAGATGAGAAGAGCAGAAAAAGCTTTGACAGCTCACGTGGACGTTAAGTGAGTATTGCTTGTGCAGTGTTACTCAGTTGCTACTGTTAAACATATAGTCACGAGTTGAGTTTCTGTTTTGTTTCTTCACTTGGTTTAGTTGCCCCGTTATCACCAGCAGTTCGAAGAAGAAGCCAGAAGAAACAAAGCCTAAGAAGCCTGTGGTTGTGTTGTCTTTGGATACGAGTAAAGCGAAACCAAGAGAGGCAAAAGTAAATGAACGTTTGCAGAAAATGTTACGACCACCCACCGACCAACGGAGTGGTTGTCTACTGACTCAGACTGACTAACGGACGCACGGACTTACGGATTAGCTGACGGATTGGCTGAATGAATGAACAGTGGATTGATTGATTGATTGATTGATTGATTGATTGATTGATTGATTGATTGATTGATTGATTGATTGATTGATTGATTGATTGATTGATT